CATGACAGTGTTAGTATTTCCTGTGCTAGCAAATCTAATAACCTTATCAGGCAGATAACTGAATCCACATCTTACTATCAAGTTGAACTTTTTAACACTAAATTATTTGATATCCAGCTTCAACCCATTACTCACAGAAACTCTTAACGATAACCGAATAGAGCAAGATAGTTTAGAAACTCTTAATCGTCTTCCACCCAATTCACGAACTGGATATTTTCTTCTACCCAATTACGCTGACTAAGAGATTAAAAGAACTGAAAATCACCTTGATGGACACCTTGGTCTTCACTTGGCTCTCCAGAGCTTCAGTCATGGACTACAACAAGCATACAGATATCAAAAAGAGGAAAGAAAAAAAAAACCACAAAAACGAATCAAGACGCCAAGATCAGTCAAATAAAAGTTAAATTGAAACCTTGTCAAATTGAACAAGGACTTGGATAGCTAGCTCAGGGCTCAGCGTACCGCTCTGAACCATCTCGTCCAAAGTCTCCGTCAGACACATCCCGATCGTCGATCTCCTGTACAGCTCAAACGTCGCCATTCTCTACTTCCCCAACGATCTGTTGATTCAAATTCGAGCAACAAATCGTCGAATCAAAATTCGCAACTAATTACAAATCGGGAATCTGAAAGTTTCGACGCCAAAAAAAAGGTGCTAGATGAATCTAAGACCTCAATAAGAGATGAATACGGGATGAAGAACCGGTTTACCGATCTCCGGCGACGTTAGAAGAGATTTGGACGGTGGATGCAGGAGCTTCCGTTGCTCGATTGCGAAGGATTTTTGTCTCTTGGGCGGAGAAAAAATTAGGGGCTTTTATACCCTAGATTTTGCAGGTAACTGTATATATAGGCAGCGATAGATCGAGTCGGCGAAAAATTACATTCTTACCCTCTCGTTTGTAATAAAGTCAAATCTGAGATTAGAAAGAAGGCCCAACACAAGGCCCATATAATGTCTTTTTTTTTATTAGTAAAGTAACCCGCAATACAAAATTGCGTATACAATAATGTGACTAAAAGTCCTAGTGAGAGTATGAATCTAAAGGAGGTCCTTCGAGGCGGATATAGTCATACATGAGACCATTAAAGGCTCCAGTGGTGGTCATGGTTTGTGTCAAGAACAAAGTGTTGTCTCCTTCCACAAGCTTCTCACTTGGTACATCCACATTATAAAGCCTATAGATTCCATGTATCCCATGTCTTGCAATCGCGTTATCGTGCCCGATTACACCCGTTGTGAATATAGGAGTAGTCTTTTCTGTGTCATCATCATTCATCCTCACCTGTAATTCTGCTACATTTGCAGTTGCTAGCGCGATCCGGATTTTGTATGTGCAACTTTTCTGTACATTCTCTAGCTTGAACTTGATTTGCCATGTTGTTTTCTGATATGTATCATCTCCCATTTTCCTATCATCATTTAAAATAAATGTGAGGCTTCTTTGTTTTACTCTTCTTAGAAAATGTGAAATATTTGTTACCTGGTAACGTGTGCAAAGAACCAATCTTTTTTGTAATCACTGACGCCAATGGTGAACACCAAATCTTCCTTAGGATATAGTTCTGTGTATCTTTCCCATAGCCCGTATTGCCTAAACCTGCTTACGTACAACCATACTTTAGCTCTCTACTGTTTTAACAATCTGAAACCTTAATGTTGTGATATCTTTGATCATGGACATACCTATCAGGATGACCAATATATAGTTTGTTGATGTATTTGGGATTTGGGTCTGGAACAAAGAACTCAGCTGCAGACCGGTCAGGTATCCCTATTTCCCACACTGTTGGCCCATCTCGGGGCGGTTCATACACGATATTGCCAACGTCAATGTCGCAGCCTGGTTTTTGTGTGCAGAGTGTAGCTAATGTTAAGTTAACTTGCACTTCTTGATACAGCCTAATATAAATCTTGATTACATTGTAAGTTAAAGAAAATATAACCTGCAGTAATGTTAATCAATTGTTCGTATTGATAGTCTCCTATCCATCCTGTCACATAACCATTGAGATTATACTCGCCTTCTCGGATATCATTTATCGCGAAATAACCATCAGAATCTGCTTCTGTCCAGAATTGATATCCCTATGTATATAAGTTAAATTCATGCAAGCATAAGTTCATTGTTTACATGTATATTCTTATATGGTCTAAGAGTATAATTTGCATGGCTGACCTTAGATTCTAATTGCCAGGATCCAACCTCTCCTGGTGGAGCCAACCCTACGAAAGCACCATTTGCTGGTAAAAAATCATCACTAAGAAATCTGAAGGAATTTTAACAAAAAAACATAAGAAAACAACGGTGAGTGAATGATAGTAAAACGAAGAAAAGCAGAGCAAATGGTGGAATGTGAGGCTTACTTGTCGCATACTAGTAATCTACCGCTGATGCAACCGCGCTTATCGGACACTGGAAAGTCTTCTGAAGCAGGGAAATCGTAAGGCCAGCTTTGGACTTCAGTTAACATCTAATCAAACACCACTTCCTACAATGTTAGATAAGTTTTTTATAATATGCACAAAAGGTAGAAGGTTGGTTAATGGATAAACCTGGTTTTTAGCGTCTTGCCATAGCGAAAGAGGGTCAGAGGTTTTGTCAGGCAAGCAATTGAGGTAAGTAAAGACAGGACCAAACACTTTCTTCCATGACTCCCCTGCTTTCACCTTCATCACCATATCCTCACCCGCGTAGTGAGCACTCAAAAACATCTGTGTTTACACAATCATTAAGTAAGAACCCATCATCATAGATAAGAGAACATGTTTCAAGGAGGAAGAGAGAAAAGAAACATACAGCAAGACTGATGGGACCAACATGAGAAGTAAGGTTCTGTTTGGACAAGCCACCTGATCTGAACTCATTGCTAGGAATGATTTGCCAGCAACCCAAATCCAAGTTATGTGAGATCCATCCATGCACTTTCAGATCTTTGTTCTCACTTGAATACTCATACTTGTCATCAACCTCTCCTTTAAACTCGTCTTCAACAGGATGAACAAGAAGAACAGCTTCAGGATAAGCCAAAGGTCTTCCTCTTTTCCCCAATCTATCCTCTGGAAGTGGCATTTTCCTCTGCCTGTTATCAGCAATCGCCATATATTTAAACCTGCAAGTTTTCTTTCCACATGAGTATATACTAATATTGGTTTTAAGGGAAAGATTGATATTGAACTTTAGTTACTTGTCTTTACGAAGCTTGTAGACAATCCTTGTCTGAGGCAAGTTAAAAGCTGGCCATTCCGCTAGATGCTCAAATATCGCATATGAGTAGAATCCAGTTACATCTTTACGCATTATGAACCTGAATGATACAATATCCAAATCAAACTCTCTGCCACACTCACACATAAATGCATGTTGTATTAAAATGACATACCTCTTGTCAACATTAATGGGAGCAATACTGTCTTGGAGAGAAGAATCCCATTTCCTTGAGAAGGAAATTTCTACCAGCTCTTCATTTTCCACTACTACTTCAAAACTTGTGCCTTTGATCCTGCCTCAGCCAAGTTTATAAACATTTATATAAAAACTTGATTATAAGCTCGATGGAACGATGTATACTTACCGCTCGGATTTCCCTGTGGTTCCAGGCGTCCCTTCATCGCTCCAAACAAGGTCCCAGTACCTGAGTTTGGACACAACATTTCATATGTTGTAATAAGTTTAGTAATAGACTGATGGATGTATAACAAACATTCTACACTAAGTACCCTCGATTGAAATCTTCGTTGTGAGTTTCTAGTAGATTGTCGACGCCCTGGTAAGAGATTCCGGTAACAAAACCATCTGGTTTTGATATGGTCACTTTCACTTTACCATTTCCCATGACCACCTGCATTTACCATATTCATGTATATACATATGGTGATATGGACAAAAACATATAGATGAAGCAGCTATGTGTGAGGGAGAGGGATATTACATGGCTTTCTTGGACATCCAACTGAACAGAATCTTGGTTCGACATCTCTTTCTCTCACAATCTTTCTTTCTAATTGTGTTGTTTTCAGAGATATGAGGTTGAAGCTTTTGTAGAGAAACAATCTGTGGATAAGTTTGATTCATCTTCAATTTGTAGAGATCGTTTGATTCTTCTTCAAGATTGGACAAGTGGTATCTTTAAGCTTTGAGCTTCTTTTATTTACTTTTTGGGTAAGTACTGTATATCCAACATATTATTCCATTTGTTGATGGATTCTCACGCAAGAAGTTACATTTGTTACCCATTTGTTGATGTTTAACATCGTTCATTTGAATCAGATTTTTCTCATGTCACATATTATTGAAAACCATGGTCACACTTTATTAAAAAGAATAGGATCATTTATGGTCACTTGTTTGATATATAGTCCATGTATGTATAAAAAAAAGGTAGTTGTATCCATATTTATGAAAGTACTTAAAAGAGAGTATACATTGGCTAAATTAGATAGATACATACATACATTGACTTCATAGTAGTCAGAATCTACTGAATTACGTTAGTAATGGAATGAATGTATTAATTTATAAGCAACGCCTAATGCTTGGCGTTACGTCAACCATTCCTTATGTTGTTTTCTGATGCAGCATGAAATGGATGAGTGAGAGAGAATCAGTGACAAGAAGTCAAAAAGGTACACCTTTCGTCTACTTTGCTCTTTCTACCATAAACACACACTTGGCTCTCTTTCAAAACCTGTTTCTGTCTTCTTTAGTTCTTGCTAAGGCAACAACACCTATTCACCTTTGCAACAAATCACTTCCATTTACATTATTAGTTTACGAAAAAAGCTCACACAAGTATACTTGGAAGCATCACCTAAGTTGCATTGGCAGATCCATTGGTCTAGAATAAATCTAGCAAAACAACAAGCTGAAAAAACTTTTAATTAACCTTGTAAGGAATTACCATTATGTTGGGTGCTTCACAAAATTACCAATTCACTTTACCTCCATGAGAGTCACCTCGCACATTCTAGACCATCGATGGGGTAACTAAAACAGTAAAACCAAGACGCGAGCACAACTCTAATAGCTTTGAGCTACAAAGTAGACCTTTCTTATTGGATGGGTGTTTGGGGAACAGTTTTAAAAAAAAAATGGGCAGCTTGGGAACCCTAGGCAGCAAGAGAATATATATCTAGAGGTACACAAGAAACTAACCCTGCTGCACCATGAGAAAACAAAATTAGGCTATGCAATAAGCATCTAACATATAGGATAGTTTTTAAAAGGGTAGTGTGGTATGCTTGTGGTTTCTTGGTTTTAAAAGTTAAATTCTCAGCCCAGTTGAGCATTGTATATATGGTTTCTTGGTTTGTTTTTGTCTCAACAGATTTGTAATTCATATTTCAAAATACATTTTTTCAGATCATAAACAGGATTGAAGGACATGGACATGAAAACATCTCTTCAGATCTTTTAAACATTTTGCCATTTGTTGTGATCTTTTGTTATTACTTGTGATGACTTATGGTACCTTTATCAATATGTTAAGAGTATGATTTTAGGATTTTTAAAGTATGTATTCACGGAAACCTCTTTATTTAAAGCTATGATAATGAGATTGTTAGATGAGATATATGCAAAGGTGTCAAGCAAAAAACCTTGGCATTTAGGCGTGATTTTTGTAGGTAAGTGAACAAAAGCAAGACTACCATCGGGCTGATGAAACAGATTTTAAGAAGAACTTAAAACCTTAGGAGAACATGTTGGAGAGTTTGGATTCACGATATTATGCTGCTTTCGTGATGATCTTCAAAAGAAACTTGAGGAGGTTGAGATGGGCATTCATGGGTTCGAAAAGAATCTAGAAGAGTTATTACAAAGGTTGATAGGAACACATTTTTAGATATCTCTTAACCAAAATTGTATGTATGCGTTTATTTAGCAATGTCCAAACAAGGGAACAAGTAGGCGGTTGCAGCGGCACAAGTAGAAGAGAGTTACGCAGTACATGGAATCATTTTCAAGAAGACACAACCCTGAGACTGCGCACCTAAAACCTTGTGTAGAAAATAGAGGAAACGGTGCAACAATTCCGGGAAATATGTCCACGAGGAAGAAAGAAGACTACAGAGAGACCGAAGCAGAAGCAAAGGAAACAATGAGGAAGACACAGCTACAACTCGGAAGTTCGCATCTCCCTCACTGAGAGCCTAAGGAAGAGACTAAGAATTTGGATATGTGCAGTGAGGTCCTCAAGCTAAAGTCTCAGTCTGTCTTGAGTAACACAGTAAACTGGTGGTTCACATAAGACAACCAAGTCGAGATACTAAATTTGAGCAGATTTTGACAACCGAATCAAAGAGCTGGATAAATAATTGAAAAACTTTACTTAATCAACCACACACAAATGTGAAACTAGACAATGATAATAGAGCTTTACTTAATGATCCACACACAAATGTCAAACTAGATAATGATAATAGAGCTTACTTTAATCATCCACACACAAACGTCATACATATGGAGCTTACATTTAAACATGGCAAAGAAAGAAAGACCCAAAGGGGGTTTCATTGTCTCACAGTTCATAAGGACCCAACGAGTGATGAAAAGAAAGCAGGTTGCATTGTATCTGGATCTGAAAACACCAAAGAGACTCCAAACTTATGATGTACCTGGGACAGAGGAGCCGCCAAAGGGAAGGTTAAGATGGTCAAGTTTCAGTCTGGGAGTAGGGTTGGCCTTGACAACAAGTTTCCTTCCTCCCAATTCACTTCCATTAAGTAGCATCACCTTCTCATCAGCGTCATTTCCCATCATGGTAATAGTAACAAGGCCGTTGACAACATCGGTTTCAGGGTGTCTCCGGAAAGAAACCATAGCGATTACTCCACATGACTTGAAATGATTAGTCAAGGCCTCCTTCATCTCATCCTCAGGAAGCGAAGTGTCGAATCCTTCAACGTCGATATACCAACTATAATAATAATAATAATTATTCAATCAACACATGATGAAGAAAATATCTTTACATCTACAAATCTCCAAAAACAAAAAAAAATCAAAGCATCTTCTCGAAAAAGGCTTTCATCTCAGGATTATCAGCAAACAGGTTCAGCACCTAAAAAGTACAAAAGCGATCTAATCAGATGTTTTTCTTAAATACGTAGAAAATTGATAAACAGAGAGAGAGCCATAAGGATAAGGAGAGGAAGATTACTTTGTGTTCTTTGCAGACCTGAGGTCTGTTAAAACCGAAAAAGTCCATGGAGAGGTTGACAAAAGAGTCGATAACCCTAGCTACGATCAATATATTTTCCCTCCTATTTTAGGGATTTCAGAGGTCGATCACGACGACGAAGCTATTTATTATCTTTTTTTTCTTTGCTTTTAGGAGGGGCTAAAACTGTCTTTTCCAGTTTTTTCTTTCCACCGTCTCGCTTTTGTTTTTTTGGTTCAATGTCTGATTTCCTTTTATCACCTCAAATCTCCTTTAGATTTTTTGGTTTGCGCCGGTTCGATTCGGATGCACCCAACCATTAACCGGAACATATTTTCTTCTTACTTTTTTCTTTTATACGCATGCAATTTAAACTCTTTTATTTTTTATTTAGAGAGAAACCTACTTGTATATCTATTCCTAATTTACTAACACAAGATCAATTATTCTTATCATCCACACGATAATATTTCTTTCACCCACAAACTTTTTAATCCTAGAGAGTTTCTGAAAAAAGAGAAGACTATTTGGTCTTATCATACATTGGCTAAAGTAGACAGATAGATACATTGACTTCATTTGTAGTTAGAATCTACTGAATTACGTTAGTAATGGCAATGTATTAATTTACAAGCAACTCCTAATGCTTCGCGTTACGTCATTCATTTCTTATGTTGTTTTCTGATGCAGCATGAGATGGATGAGTGGGAGAAATCAGTGACAACAAGTCAAAAAGGTACACCTTTCGTTCACTTTGCTCTTTCTACGATAAACACACACTTGGCTCTCTTTTACAACCTGTTTCTGTCTTCTTTAGTTCTTGCAAAAGGCAACAAAGTCACTGCTGCATTCACCATTTACATTAGTTTGAATAATGGGTCGAGGTACTCAACCCCAAAAAATGGGTCGTTGAGTACATCAACCCCATTTTAGCAATACAACAAGCTGAAAAAACTTCTAACCTTTTTAGGAATTACCATTACGTTGGGTTCTTCACAAAATCACCATTGTTCTTTACCTCCATGAGAGTCACCTCGCACATCTAGACCATCGATGAGAAGGGAATATAACCAAACATCTCCCCACTCCCCAATTTTAGATACAATATTCTTAGCTACCATGACCAAGGTGTAAATGATTTTATATGATTTTGAGAATCGGCTTGGACTAGTTCGAATACAAATAAAAAAAGTTATGTATGCAACATCTGGAAAAGTCATGAATGAACTTAATCGACTTACTTCTATACCTAACTTCTGAAGGATCAGACTTTCATAGGGTAACTAATTAACTAAAACAGTAAACCCAAAGAAGCAAGGACAGCTCTAATAGCTGTGACTGTGAGCTACAGGTAGACCTTTCTTATTGAATGGGGGTTTGGGGAACAGATCACTAATTTTTAAAAGTTTTTGGCAGCTTGGGAACCCTACGCAGCAAGAGAATATATATCTAGAGGTACACAATAAACTAACCCTGCTGCACCATGAGAACACAAAATTACGCTATGCTAGCATCAAACATATAGGATAGTTTTAAAAAGGGTAGTATGGTATGTCGAACTAGCTATGTTCCTTAATTGAGCATAATACTTCTTACAAATTTAGAGACTGGGGGGTATTGGTGTAAACAAAAACTCCCTTCTCACAAATGGTCTAGACATGAGAGACAACTCAAGTACAAATGGTGATACTCAGCATCTCAGCTGGACTGTCAGAACCTTATCTCAGTCAACTGTAGCAGTTTTCCACTGCATTAACAAGGGAAGATGAATTTTCAGATTTAAAATTCATATTATAAAAACAACGAACAGCATACAATTACAAAGATATGCAGATATAAACCTGATATTTATGCATTGCTAGTTTATGCAACAGCAAAGTAGTATTTTTTATTTTAATGATTTGAGACAAAATTGTCTTGCATTCAATCAATAAAATTTTTCTTAATCTCCTCATAGTAAAGCAAGTTTTCTTCACTTTCTCTTCTTTGAAGACATTGTGCAAATGCATTTTTGTACATTTAGAGACTGCAAACACAGATGAAGCTATCCAATAAATGGTCTCTAAAAGGAGCCTATCATATAGTTTTTTGAAAAGTCTTATTTGACCAAGAATCAAAGTTGAGTGACAAGGATATCATGATCACGCTTGAATTCTCAGAAGGTTCCATATTGAGGGTTTTACTTAACAGACCATGTTAAACAAAAAAAGACCATACTCAGACAAACTCGAAAACTCTTTAGTGGGTGAATTAGTGTTAGTTTGCCGAAGAAGAAGAACGAACAAGCATATTTTGCTTAATTTCATATAATTTGGGTATAGACTTTCCACGAGCTCCTTTTTACCTTAAAGTGGGCTCAAGTAAGAATCTAATGATGCTTTCAAACTCTTCTCAGGAATTACAACTAAAGAAGGTGCAGATATAAAAAACCACAGTAACAAACTATGTTTCTTCAGATCAACTGAGTCGAGTCTCTTATTCACAGTAGCTAACTAAAGAAGGTGCAGATATCAATAACCACAGTAACTAAATATCTGGGTATAGATTTGTTTTCTGTGTTTCTTCAGATCAATTGAGTCGAGTCTATTATTTGTTTTTATCTTATGCTCATAACTAACTAAGTAAAAGGAATATATAGACTAACTAAGTAACAATCAACAAATGACACTCACAATACTTGTAGAATAAAACAGATCATAAGATATATACATATATGTAAATGCATCAAACACAAATAATATAGATGAGAAAACAAACCTCAATACATGAGACAGGTCCACTTAAAGATTTTAAAAGCTCTCACAAATCTGGACATGCAAAACCAAATTATGATACATTAGTACTCAAAATCATTCCATACATTACTAAAATTAGATCCGCAGCTCAGAAATTATATAATCTTAAAGCTCATGCAGCTGATCTATCGATGATAAACGCCATAACTACGAAACTAATCTCACGGATAAAAACAAATATCACAAAAACGACTCAACAAAAAATGTGTACAATCAAATCAAATTGCAGGTTAAGAATAGATATACACGGAATCAGACTAACCGATGAACTATTGGAGACGAGTCAGCTCAAGAATTTCGAAAATGGCGGATCGCCGTCACGAGATCCCATTGAAATTCGACGGAAAACAGTCGGAAAAAGCCGTGATGTGAGGCCGATTCAGGAGAAAAGGGAAGCTAGGGCAAGAGAGAGAGCGAGTGAAAGCGAGATGGAGAAGAGAGCAGTGATGATTAACTGAGGAAGGATGCGAGAGAGGGTTTTATATAAGTAATGTAAGCGAAGAATGAGAGTAATTTAAAACCTTAAGTATCGATTAGTGCGTTAATCAGATTTCATTTGGATTAATCTATAATTTGAATTTGGGGACATGTGGGGCTTCGATTTCTCACATAAAGCCGCTGCTCAAGCCGCTCATGCTTCTTACCCATACAAATTCATCTTTTCATTGTAAAAAGATTGATTTTTCAATAAATGTTATACATGTGATTCTACCACTAGAAAACGAATCAAACTATTAGATCATTTTTGATACAACTAATCAGAAAACTAATTATATTAAGTATTTGCTACTTTGCAAATTTAACTTTGTAGAAATCCCACTATGGAAGGCAAAAATTAAGTGTTAGGGTATGTCGGTCAAGCTGAGCAAAGGCAAGCCGTTAGCTGAACAGTGGATTCTACTAGTAGTATAAAATTTTCTCCTTTGTTAAATGTGAACCTAAATCTTAAACAAATAAAAATGTTTTTTTTTTAAATAAAAGTAGAATAGAAAAGAGAAGAAGAGAAGAGTCGCGAAAGATTGAAGAAAAAGAGGAAAAGACACATGTCCAGCTCTGAGTTGATCAAACGGACCAATAAAAGTTAGGCTTTTAATTTACTTGTCTCCTTGAATGAATACAAATGTGTCACGTTTCTTTTCTAGCTCTTTCCGGATCTGTCAGGCTCGTACATTTCTCTCCTAGTTTATTGATACCTATAATATTTATGCCATAATCTATATACAGATTTCGCTGGTTATTCTTTGAAGGACCACACGGATCATAGCTCTCGTAGGTCACATTTTGGCTCGTCCAGTTTTTGTTTTCTTTCTTTTGATTAAAAAAGAATTTTTTCCGAGATTTTTAAGAATTATTTAAAGTTTAAGAGGTTCTAGAACAAAAGATTTGATAATACAATTGTTTTATTAAAGCAGTGTAGTTGAGTCGAACTAATTGACGTAAAATGTGTACCAAAACGTGAACCTGAAAACTCAATTCAATAAGTTATAGATGTTTTATATATATAAATCCATGTTTATGTTAATAATCAAAAAATTCAGTTTTATAAAAATAGTTAAGAGATGTTTTTGCAATGCATGTCCTTACACTTGCATAAAATTCATATCTTCTTCTTTTTTTCTTTTCTTTTTTTTTATAAAGAAGAAGTGGTTTTGGTTTCAAAATGACAATTTAATATGACCATCATCTAGTTTCTGTATTTTGGTTTATGTATTGTAGAAATGTCCTCGTGTATCGTTTTGTGAACATAAGCGAAAATCATAGCAAATTAAAACCATTCGGCCAAATGAATAAAAAAATAAAAAATTCAGTCGAAATACATTACAAATTTGTTTCCAGTTCTCATGCTTTCTATATATAGTTCTATACTTCTACTTAACCAAATCCATTGCATGTGACACTACTACTAGGCCACAAAATATATAAGCAACTTGTCATATCAATCTGTAAAGAAACTTAGTAATTTATGAAATATACTATTGTTAATACATAATAATTTTCAAAAGAAATATAGAAACTTTAGTTAAAAGAACAGAATCATAGAAAGATGTGTTGTAACTTGCACTAGTTTAAGTAATGAAAATGTTCAAACTACTACTAATATCGAATTTCTTCGTCGTCACTAGTAGGAAACAAAAATTATAATTATATTTACGTATATAATACTAAGCATGAAGTACCAAGTTGCAGCTACTTGGTTATATGTTTATGGTGTTATGGACCAACTTGTACTCGTCTTTTGCCATAAACAACTTTAAATTTGTGAAGTTGGAAGCGCCACGACCACTGTAGTTTTTCCATGCCGTAAACTAATATATATATTAAAAAATGTTGACAATTCGAATGATGGATGGTGGTGATCACGATGAATGTAATATGATGGGTTATATAAGTTTAAATTTAGGAAATCTCATGTAAACTATACAAAATCTCGTATATCAATTCCATATACAAACATGAACAACAATAATTTTTTAATTACTTTATAGAAGACATTGTTAGACATTGTAAAACATGAACAACAATAATCTGTTTTTCTTTTTTGTTTTTGAAGAAGTTAAAAGCTAACTAAGATGTGATTTTACTTTTTATGTTTTAATACATTGCAGCAAACTTTTAAGATGTGCATTTGTCCTGGCTCAGGAAAGATAATTCTGTGGGAGGTTTGAGTTTATAATGTTTCTAAGTTCATTCATAAATTATAAAATGTGTTTCATATTGAAAGAAACATTATATATAGATCAACTAGACTATAAAAAAATAGTTCCGATTACAATATATTTTGTACGCATGCATCTGATAAACACCTGTAAGACTGGTAAGTTGAAAGATTAGATTCGAGAGTCAAAAACATTATGCTAAAGTTGGTGAGTAACAATAAGGAATAACATAATGTCAAACTCAATATCATTTTAAATTCTATTTCAGCAGGGTTGACGAATCATAATATTGAAGCCTAAGTGAATACTACTACTATAATATTATTCTTTCATTAAGGAATAATGTGAATGTCAAACTCAATATCACTTTTGGTTCTAGAGCAAACCAACCACACACTTGTGTGAAAATAGAGAGTCTTAACTCTTATCTAATCCCTAAAAAGGAGGGAAAATAGAATGACACTGAAACGTGTTTGAGATGCTGCATCAACTACTTCAAAACGTGGCAGGGAACAAAGCCAATTAACATAGGGACGTCCCTACCAGTATACATATATACTCAGAAGGACGAGACTGGTGAATGTATGAGAATAAATGAATTATGTTGGAAGCATATGGATCATCGCATCAGACCGTATTCAAATCAGGAGAAACTATCAGCAATTTTCACTCAATTTAGTCTTGATATCGTATAAGTTTAGTACAATCTTCTATGTATTCATAAATTAAAACCAAATCAACAAGCTTGTACATATTCACTCGACTAAAGCACTTAAGAAACACAGAGAGTTAAATATTGTTTCTAACTGTCTTCTGTGAAAGCTCTGCTTGAATACCACGCACGTGGATTCAACGTCTTTTACTCTTGGCCTTGGTGACTCGATTTCTCATAGATGCATCTGGCGGCTTCCAAATGATGTCATCAAGCTTACTACAAAAAGTCTTGTAGAACTGCAAAACATAAACTGGTTTTTACTATTCCGGAGTCACACAATCCCTCAAGGTGAACTTATAACACTAAGGTCTCCTTCCGAAACTAACCTTAAGGTATTCTTCTGCGTCTCCTGCTGCATTTTGAATGTCTACCATGAGAATTGATGGTGCAACTTTGAAGACCTTCAGATTTGAAAATGATTAGTGAGACTTCGAACATAGAGAGACCAAAGTAAAAAAGTTGGACTGGTTTTAAGAGAAGTTACTTCTAGTATGACGGAGAAATGAGA